CCCTCAGCACTGACCCTCCGACAGCGCCCGCTCCCTCAGCACTGACCCTGCCACAGTGCGGCGCTCTCTCGGCACTGAGCTAGAGATGATTCCTGAACTATGTGATAACCCACAGGTGAACAATTGAACTGGAATCTGGAACTGTTGTTAAATAACAAAAATGATGTCGGTGTAATATCATTTTGGTTTGCAGGTTATATGCCCTCAGACATGCCAGTGAAGGCAAAGCGCAGTACGTTTAATTACAGCCTCCCCATCACCATCAGCAAACCAGGTACGGAGCACAGAAGATCTGTATACGATGATCGAAACGCAAACAGAAATTGCTGGGAAAACTCAGCAGCTCTGGCAGCTTCTGTGGAGAGAAAGCAGAGTTAATGTTTAGTGTCCAATGACCCTTCTTCAGAGCATAGAGTTCTATAACACAGGCTTAGAGCATAGAACAGAAGATTTCTTTGTGTCCTGATAGACCCTGTTATCTAAACAATGTGATCCACACAGCTTGTGATACCTTGTACATCCCGATATAGACAGTCCTCATCCCAACTTACATGGGACGACCACACAATTCATTGAAAAGCCCAGATCACTCTGGGGGAGGAGAACATGTGGTAAATCTCTCTTGAACCTGCAGCTTCTGGTCCAGGGCTAGGGATACTTTCGCTGTGCCGCAAGACCCAGGAAATCCCTTTATAACCCCCTAACGTTTTAAAAATTATTTGATGGGCTTTGGTTGTCACTGACAAGCATTTATAGCCCATCCTTAACAGCTCTTGAACTGAGCGGTTTGCTTGGCCATTTCAGAGGCCAGTTTAGAGGTAGCCACGTTGCTGTGGGTCTGCAGTCATGTGTAGTGAATCAATGTCCATTGGACAAGCTGGAAGCCTGTTCTGAAGATCCACTGTTCTCTGGGGAGTTTTTTTAATGCAGTGTGCTGCTGTCGTTTTGATTTGGACAATGGAAGTGCTGCCCAGGCAGAGAGGTGAGATCTTCAGGTTCTTAGTTAGCTGGTTAGCCACTGTTGTCACAGCAACTTCTGTTTAAATAGTTGAGTTGGAAAGAGAGAGTGGATGTGGAAGTTTGTTCAAATGCCTCTCTGACATCGTCCCTCCCCATCTCTGCCACCACCTCCAACCCTACAACTCTCAATGTAGAGATGAACAATGTTTGTACGTTTGAATTTTAAACAGTGATTTGGTGGTGAGACTGCCTCGACAACGTGAAGGGGCATGCACTTGAAGATTTCCCAGATTCTGGCTAGCTCCTTGCTCATTGAGGGCACTGTACATGGTGTACACAGGCTGGACAGCCCTCGATCTGGCCAGGCACATATGTCCCCCAGGCTGGTTTCAGGGACTGGGGAGGAGAACAGTCCCTTTGGCCCATGGAGATACGCGACCTGTGGAGAGAAACCATTAACCTGATTACAGTCCCCTCTACTTCCAGCTTTGGTTTCAGTGGGATTTGCTTGCTTTGGGCAATACTTGGCAAAAATGGAAAGCCAAGTAAACCAGCATTTCTGTTACTTTAAAAGCAGGTACACCCTGAATCTCCTCTCAAAGACACTTCAACCAGTTCTGAAGAGATGATTGAGATTGTTTGAAGAGTTGACATTGGCTGAATGAGTAAGAATGTGTTCAGACTTGTTGATTGACCCAAAAGTCTCAGTCTGCTTCCATATGTTATCAGCAGACACACTTGCTGATGCAGGTAGCTGCATAATCAAGCATGAGTAGTGTAAAGGGGGTGGAGATTTATTTGTGTGATTTAAGTCAGACTGAGTGTAGAATTGATGCTCATCCTCAACCTCTTAGCCCCTCAGGTTGTGAGTATTCAAGATCTGGGAAAAGCTTCAGTAGTTCCCAATGTCCCACAGAAGAAGAAACTCACAACATCTGGATACAAGCTCAAAGTAAGTTTCCAGCACAGACTTGTTATTATTAGGGTAACATCTGTGTTTTTATCAGAACAAAACCTACATCAGTGGTAACTCATGGGCTAAAGCAAGTTGGGGGAGGCTCCATAGTAAATACCTGGTGGGTGCCACTGGCTTATTGATAATGGGTTGAATCATTCCACCTTATTGAAAGGTTCCCCTGTTGTTGCTGTCCCTTCAGCACTGCTATTCCTGCCACAATATCTTTTGAGGCCCCTGAAAATCCCTCCAGTCAGATGTTAGTCTGAAACATCCAAAATCCTGGTCTCAGCAAGGGTTGAATTTAAAGCAGTCTGGACTTTATAAAATTTGAATCTGTCGATGACCTGTTGCTGTTGATTTTGTAATTCCAGCAATCAGTTTACATATTCCAGGAGGACACTCTACCACCTTATCGACAGATGTTTTACCAGTTGTGTGACCTGGATGCAGACAGGTAATGACGGGGGAAAAGTGGGAAATGGGAGCAGAGTTTTGGGAGCTGCTGCACTATGGATGGATTGAGACGGGTAAAATCTGAACATGTTTGTTTCAAAGGCTTCGTCTCATTCACTACTGTGCAGCTGAGTTGGTTGAACAATAAATATTGACCAGGATACAATGGAGAAGGTCCCTGTGCCTCTTCACATACTACTGTAGGCATTTCCAACTCTATTGGAGAAAAAGGAATGTTTCCAGCTTAAAGTTCCATCTGAAAGTTGGCACCTTCAACTCTGTGAGACTCCCTCAGTACTCACTGTCTGACTAGACAGAGCTCCCTCAGCACTGACAGCACGGCACTCCCTCAGCACTGACCCTCCGACAGTGCGGCACTCCCTCAGCACTGACCGTCTGACAGCACGGCACTCCCTCAGTCCTGACCCTCTGACAGTGTGGCACTCGCTCAGTACTGACCCTCTGACAGTGCGGCACTCCCTCAGCACTGACCCTCCGACAGTG